TTAAAAATATCCAAATGGCCCTAGCAGGAAAAAAGCTTCCCACCCATGTTCTACAAATCACCTGGACTTTTCTCCCATAGAGCCTTGGGTGGGTTTGAACCACTGATCTTTTGGTTAGCAGTCATGTACTTAAGAATTGTGCCACCGGGGCTCCTTGTGCCTTGTATTAGGGATGCAGAAATAAGACATGGTCCCTTGTCCTTCAGACACTTGCAAGCATGGAAGAGGAAGAATATAGTGTTGATAGAGAACAGAATCAACAAGCAAATAGAAGACTGAAATATAGAATGTTAAGGGCTTGAGATAGGTCATCAATGAGTCCTATGGGTAGCATAGAGTTATGAGTTGGAATGGACTCTACAGGTCACAACACAAATAACTGTGAAGAATTAGAAGTGGGGGGCTCCACAGAGGAGTTGATATATGGGTAGCATGAGATACAAGCATTCATCTTTGCAGAAAGAAAGATCCATCAGAAAAGAGAGGCTGCATGTAAAAGAAAGGGTGCAGTCAAAGAAAGAGGTAGTAGAGGAGGCTGAGCTTCAGAGTTAGGTCTTAGGAGAAAGGCTTTTCTTCCTTTGAAATAAGGATGAAGGAAGGATCATGGCGTGAAGTTAAATTGCTTAAATATAGCTCTTCTATCCCTGTTTTTGTAAATTATCAAATGGCTGGATGGAACCATGCTAACAGGGTGTGTGTGAAACACTAATAGAGGGAATTTATCAGTTTAGAAAGACCATGACAAAAGAAGAGTCAACAGAAAAAGCAAGTGCAAGATTCCTGCCTAGAGTAGTGGAGGCAGCAGAGGCACCAGAGGCTACAGCACCTAGACCATGAGACAGAGCAGAAGAGCAGCACCGAGACCAGGACGGAGAGCTGGGGGCAGCCTTTTTGGCCCACGGAGGCAGAGACCAAGGGATCACATGGCTGATGCCAAGGACCAAAGTGATATGGCTGCCGGGCTGGCTGAAAAGAGGTGCTATCGACAAAAGGACTGTATTCTTGACCTAAAAAACATCATGGTGCGTGAAATTACTTAACCGCTAAATGACAAATAATATGAGAACTGTTATATAGAAAAATAATAATAAGACAAAGGCTTTCATACCAAAGGAAACCAAAGTGGGGAGGGCAAGGGAGCGAAGATGAAGCAGTAGGCTCGCAGGTTGACCGGAGAGTGAAGGGATGATAACGACCCTGCGAGAGGAGAGAGAAATCAGAGGAGGCGGGGTAGCGTAAGCTACTAGTAGAATGATGGTAAGTAAATCAAACTTTTGAGTACACAATCGATCATCTGAAATGTAAACTCCACCTGATTGAACATTTTTAACTGTTAACAAAGGTAATCCTTTTTCATTTGATAGCTTCCCTAATAAACCCAATCATTGTGTTATCTGAGAGTTCCGTGTGGGCATTGCAACAAAGCGTTGAACCCAGCAGAGAAGTGGAGTGTTGTGGAGGAATGATTGGTGTCAGAACAGGATGGAAGGTAAGGCAGGTTTGACTTCTGCCTTGTGGCTACTGACCTTGAGCTGGATTCTCCGTCTCCTTACTAAACCTGGAGGAGTCTGGTGTGGACCTCACTCCATTTTCTCCCTGACGGTGACTGGAGACAGTCTCTTCCCATACATTTACTCAGGGTTGATCCTGCAAAGTGTCTAATCCAAACAAGCATTATTTCTTGATAGATCAGTGGTTCTCAACCTCCTTAATGCCATGACAATTTAATACAGTTCCTCATGTGGTGGTGACCCCCAACCCTAAAATTATTTTCGTTGCTACTTCATCACTGTCATTTTGCTACTGTGATGAATCAGGCGACCCCTGTGAAAGGGTCGTTCGACCCCAAAGGGGTCAGGACCCGCAGGTTGAGAACAGCTGCGATGTATCACCCTCCTTTCCTGGCCTTCTTGCCTGTAGTACAGCACTTTTATTGGTCCTTGCTAACTTGTCTATAGCACTCATCCACTTAAAGGAAATTTAAATCTATCCTTTCAGATCAGACTTGCTTCACACCACCTCTTCGACACTTTTCTCTTATTTCAAGGCTCCATATTTAAAATCCAATAGCCCCATTGCTATTTCTCACTTTGTAGTTCACAAAGACAAATTAGCCAAGACCAATAAAAGTGCTTAGCAATATTTAGGAAACAACTAAGAGCAAGGTTTTGCGGCTCTATTACAGAAATTCTATTTTTTATCCTATAGAGATGGGGAAGCATTAAAGGTTTTAGAGGGGAGACATGACAATTATTCTAGAATAACTGTGTAAGAAAACTCTAAAGTTTAACAAAATGGAGAGCAAGAATCATCCGGGGACTCTGACAATACCTGACATGAGGATAAAGACCTCTCGCCCGAAAGGTTCTATGCAGCAAGCGGCTGGCAGTGGGGATGGAAAGAAACAGGTGCTTGGCTGGACATGGAAAATGAGAAAGGATTCCAAGAGCACTATAAGGTTTCAAGCTGGGGGACAGGAGAATGATAATACCTTTGAGAAAATTAATTGGGAATTGATTTAGCCAAAAGCTCTATGAAAGTTAAGACATATGAGGACTGAGATGATACAGACATTTTAGGGAACATGGATGGAGTAAGTGGGTATGAACTTTAGTCCAAGTTCAGGGAAGAAGTTAATACTGAAATGTGGATCTGAGGGGTCATCTGCATAAATGAAATGTGGGGAGAAAGGCGGGGGCTAAAATAAAAGAGAACAAGTGAGGAAGGAACGTGGGAGAAGCAAGCAAGCCACGAGATTAAGTCAGAATTCTTTCAGAAGTGAGGAAGTAGCTTTTAAAGATGAAGAAGTAGTTAACAATGTGGAACAATGGAGAGGTCATGTAGTAAGAAAAAGCCAGGCACAATACGTTCATGAGTTTAAACAAAAACTAAAATAGGAAAGCGTTGTCAAGAGTCAGTTTATATCCACACCCCAAACCAAAGCCACTGCCACCGAGTCAATGCAACTCACAGCAGGCCCCTGTGGGTTTGCAAGACTGACACTGTTTACAGGAGTAGAAAGCCCAGTCTGTCTCCTGCAGAGCTGCTTAGCGGGCTCCCTACCAGGGAGGGGTCCTGAGGAACTGGAAGGGAATGTAAACAGAGTATATGACTACCCATTTGAAAAAGGTAGTGGTGAGAGTCACAATGACCAATACGTTGAATGAGTAGTCCCACAGAGAAGAGACCCCAAGTTCAAATATAATTTGTAGAGACCATTTATTAAATCTTGAATAGGACAAAAACCAAGACAAATCATCCAGGTGAGGGAGACCATCAGCATGAGGCCGTACGGATGTCGAGGACTCGCAGACCTATCACCACTTAAAAAGAACTCGGAGAACACAGGATGCGGTCACAGAATCACAACTACTGACAGATCGCTTCACTTCAGCTGTGTGTGGAACTAACAAAGGGGGGACGGGACCGTGATTATTAGGGGCCACTTACTTGGTTCCAACACATAACAACCCCATGTCTAACAGGAGGAAACACCACTAGGCCCGGCGCCATCCTCACAAGGGTCTTACGTCCGAGCCCATTGTTGCAGCCACTGTGCCAATCCAGTTTGCTGAGGCCCGTCCTTCGTTTTCACGGCCCCTCCACTTACCAAGCATGATGTCCTTCCCCAGAAACTGGCTTGTCCTGACATGTCCAAAGTCCATGAGAAAAAGATGCTGAGGATATGTACTGTGTAGTGACATGATTCCATGTCAACTGGAAGATATGTGAAAGTGTAAGTGGTATTCAACCTGTCAATCAGGTCATGCCTGATGGTGCCCCCTTGTAGGTGTGGCCTTCTCACAAAGAGGGCCCTGGGAACCTCCCCTCCCTACCCCCCTCGGCTCTCTCTGATGGCTGAGCCTGACTGCTGCCAGAGCCCTGCCATTGCCATTGGACCCAAACAAGTCTGCACCGAACCTGTGATATCCCGGACTTCTACATCATTGTATGTGACTGTGTGTGTCTGAAGAGAGACTTAAGGACTATTGTAGGGCTTATGGACTTGTGATGGACTGGGCTGGGATGTTTCCTTCATATACAAATACTCCTTAAGATAAAGCTCTCTCTTACACATATATGAGTGTCTCTGAATTTGTTTCTCGAGTCAACCTGGTCTAACACATTGTATTTATTGCAGATTATTAAAGCTTACGAGATTGGTTCAGAGACCCCTGACCATGACTATGCAATCCCAGAGCCCTCAGTTTCCATTAAGGGCATGCCCAGACAGGACCCTGAGGACTGGCTTTCAAACACATTCTTCCTGAAGACAAAGCTTTCACATATCCGGTCAATGATCAGAAAGAACTCAATACAATCTGAATGTGGAGACTCTAAGATGGACTTAAGGTTCTGTGTTAGGCTGGGTTGACTAGAGAAACAAATCCAGTGACACGCATATATGTGTAAGAAAGTTTCATATTAAGAAGTAATTGTGTATCAGGAAAACATCCCATCCCAGTCCAGATCAAGTCCATAAGTCCCATATTAGCCCACAAGCCCAAAACAAGTCCATAAATCCCTCTTCAGACTCACGTAGTCCCATGCAATGGTGTAAAATGCAGGAAGCTCACAGGCTGGTGGGTGCAAAGTCTTGTGGATTCAATGGTGGTGGAAACATCTCAGTGCTGGCGCTGGTCTCCACATGTAGGTCTCTGAGTGTGTGTCTCTTCAACGGGAAGGTGAAGCAGAGAGAAGGGCTCTTACAGGTCTCAGCAAGTCTCCATGTGGGTTGTTAACAGGCAGGAAGGTGAAGGTTGAGAGAGAGGAAGTTCTCAGAATCCTCATGAAAATGCCATGCCCACAAGGAGGCATCATCAGGTTGTGACCTGATTGACAAGCTAGGCTCCACCCCTACATTTATTTATCAAGTTGACATGAAATTATGTAACCCCAGAGGTTCCCACTGTAAACCACAGGCTTCCAAACCCAGTGCTCAGATTTTAAGCTCGAATACATTCTCTCCTCTAATCATGGACTTTATTAAAAGTCCTTTGGTGCTTGCTTCGGCGGCACATATACTAAAATTGGAACGATACAGAGAAGATTAGCATGGCCCCTGCGCAAGGATAAAAGTCCTTTGATCATATTTCAATTGGTGTGCCTACTTCTACATGGACTAGTTCGGTGGTTTTCAACCTGTGAATCGTGACCCCTTTAGGGGTCAAATGACCCTTTCACAGGGGTCGCCCGATTCATAACAGTAGCAAAAGTAGTTATGAAGCAGCAACGAAAATAATTTTATGGTTGGGGGGGTCACCACCACATGAGGAACTGTATGAAAGGGTCGCGGCGTGAGGAGGGTTGAGAACCACTGGACTAGTTGATTGCTTCTTCAAATGTCCACTTGTTTCAAGACAGGTGCTTTTCTTTCTGATAGCTGAGCACTGTCTGATTCTTTAATGCCATTTCACTAGAGCCCCCATATCTTCAGTGATCACTTCATAAAGCTAAGTATCAGGTAGGTCCATTGTGTAAGAACTAACAGTTCTTACATTGGGGATTACTCCTTAAGGTGCAAGTTCAAAATCCATTCACAGAATATACCTTGTTTATATGTACTTGTTTATATATCCATCCAGAACAGCATGCTAGCTTCCTAAGAAATATTATACGTAATCTCCATGTAACGTTTAATAATTCTAATAACAATAGCACCATTAATCTAGCTAACTGTGCAGATTTAAAATATTTGTGAGGAAAAAATTTAAGCATATAAAGGAAAGCTTTCCCACTAAAATACATGGAAAAGTTCACTTATTAAAATTAATAAAACTTAAGTGATATAACAGCAGTCCTTAAGAAAATAATGAGGGTTATGTACCAAGCAAAAATGTCAGTAACAGTCACACACAAAAGCAAAATTATTAGTCTATACAACCCAAAAACCAAACTAAGCCATCAAATGGTTCCAATTCATAGCAACCCTATAGGCAACTTCTATGGACTTCTGAAACTGCAAATCTTTATAGGAGCAGAAAGATTCATCCTTCTCCGGTAATGCAGCTTGTGGGTTTGAACGGCAGACCTTGCAGTTAGCAGTCCTAACTCGTAGCCCACTATACCAGCAGGGATCCTACAGAACCTAAGGGATATAACAAAAGCAAAGAATATGAAAACAAGTAGCACTCAAATAACAGACAAGTTGACAATGTCAGGTAACTTCAAAAGCAAGATAGGTCTCCGCTTCTGCCCACTAAATACATTTTAGCTCCAAATACAGTTTCAACCCCTTTAGATAGGGACAAGGATGATCAAAGTTAATAAAACAAAAATTTGGTTTATTCTAGTAGGGTTTCAATTGAGTTCTTTTGTTGTCTCTTCCACTACAAAGATTCTGAATTGAAATCAGGCAAGCACAGGGATCAAGTCTCTTATACATATCGAAAATGCTAGAATACTTGTAAAGACAAACATAAAATCCAAGTAGGTTAGGCTTTAAGATCTGGATCACCAAAGGTAGAGAAAAAAATTTACTTAAAAACACAAGATTAGCAAGATAATACTGGGAAGATAATACAGGTCTATGTAAAATATGTTAAGTGTTTTTCCAAAGAGTAATTTGTCCTTCCCCAGTTTAGCTGCTGAAAGTTGTGAAGTCAAGACAGAATGAGGGGGTACACCCTCACATATTTTTCCATCCTTCGATCATGAATTTCCATGGAAACTCTGATCAAATCATGAGTGTTATCAAATTAGCATAACTGCAGGACAACGTCATACTGGAGGAGCCACTTAGTCTCCCACTTTTTCCCACCCCCACTCTAAGAAAACTACCTCAAGTTGAGGTGGGACTGCCTCTGATGATCCAGCTATAAGATAGGCAATAATGGAGTGACAGTTTGAATATAAACATAAAGCCTATCACAACGTGGTCTTCTGTGGGGAACAGAAGGATTTCTCTT